GGGAACTTCCAAACCTATCATAAATTCATAAGCTTTGATAATAAGCAGCTCACTGAAGAAAGGATCTGATTCAGGAAACAGCCAATATTCAAGAGTTGAATCCCCAGCCTGAAAACAGACACAGAGCTTAAAACAGGGACCCTTCAGGCTTCCCTCAGGGACTCAACCCCCAAACAGATGGCAGTCACCACCACCTACCTCACATAGCTCAAACGTGACTTAGGAACCAAAAATACAAAACGGTTATTCCTTAACTGATAAAATTGGAACTAAAAACAAACAAACACAAACAGAAATAACTCTGGGAATATAACTGCTTAACCATTTCTTTATATTTTTATTGGATTTTTTAAAATTTCTGCCCAGTTATGACAATGAACTGGGAAACCACAATTACAATTCACAAACGGTGGCATGAAAAACAACACACACCCCATCAGAATTACACCAAACCCTTTCCTTTTTATTCATTCAAAAGAGTCCACAGCACAAGCGTCAAACATAAGCACTGCCATTTTTTTCTTAGAAGGGGAATAACAGTTATTCTGGCAGCACTTTTACAATTCCAGGAAGTGGCTTTGATACCACACGTTGCAGGAATAGAAAGCATAACAAACTTGGAGGGCACTGGTTTGAGAGGCAGGGGACTCCTTGGTTGGAAAAAATTCCTCTTGTGCTTAAGGGAATTGCCTGTTGGCCCCGGCAAGCTGCTGAGTCTTCCCAGGTGTTGAAACAGTAAACGGAATTTCCTGCATAGATGGTGAAAATTTCTGTAGAGCAGAGTGTTTTAAATCTCCAACCCTCCCCACACCCTGAAGCTACTTCTCAAGCTTTTCTGGAGCTTCTTTTGGTCACGTGAACCTCTATAATGATGACCCTTTCGCTAAAACACATGTGACATCAGCGTTTCTGCTTACACTGCTTCTCTAGGGTTCAGATGACAGCACAAAACGTCACTTGTCAAAAAATAGCAGATATTAAGAACGTGGGCATTCGTGTTCAGGATAATAGCAAACACTTTGCAGGGTATGACACCCAGAGGAGCATTTTTTTTTTTT